GAACAACTCCTATCAGAAAGTGCATCTTGTAATTCCTTATTGAGTTTTTTTGCCTTTCCTACTTGATTAAATCAGCTCTGTGAGGGCAGGAACCACCTCAGCATTCAGCATTTAGGAGATACATGATGAATGTTTTGAATGAAAGGTAATGGCTCTTAACTTGTGTTTTGAAGGATGAATAGAAGTTCCCTAGGAGCAGATGAGCTGAGTGGGAAACCTAGACAAAAGGAAGAGTAAGCCAAAAACTGAAATGTGCTGGAAAGTGTTAGTTTTGGGATGACAAATGGTTTTAGGTTTTTTAGGTTAGCATTCAGAAAGAAATATCAAAGCGTAATGAGACTAGAGAAGATAACTTAAGGTTTGATTAGGAAAAAATTTATATGTTGGGCAAAGGGATTTGGATTCTATCCAACATACAGTGGGGTGTCGTTAGGCCCCAGCACAAGAAGATGACCAAACCAGTAAGTACCATGGGTTGCTTCTCAATATGGGAAAATTAGGAAACATCGAATGTGTCCTACCATAAAAGGCGCCCAGTGCTCAGCCGGCCCACTTCTAAGCACAAATGTTCCTACCTCTATAGCCAGGCTCTGCATTCAGTTCATGACAGGGTCCATGATGGGACAGTGCCATGTTGGTAAACCTGGCAATGAGCCACCGAGAACTCCCTCAGCTCTTGCACCAATAGACTCCGTCTTTTCCCAGTGCAGTGCAGATGAAAAAGAAACCTGTGGACAGTGCATATTTCCAAGTAAATGTAATGCCTAATATATGAAATTGCTAAAGTCATAAAAAAAATCTGGTCTCCAGGCAGTTTATATTTCTCTAATGATGATCCAACTATCTTTAAATGACTGTTTAATAACTACCCTGCTCCCTTATTAAGGAAAAAACCATACACGGTGTGATACTGTACTATGGTTTATTATTTTTCTTCAGACACAGACATGACACCATAATATTAAGAAGTCATGTCTTTGGCCATATTCAAATAAACAAAATACACTGAAAGCCATAATCTGTGAAGGATCGCAGGGTTTCCATCAGAAAATGAAAATGTAGATGCAGACATCCGATTTGCTCAGCTCCTTCAGGAACCCTTTACAGCCTGTTCCGTGCGAGACACAAAAGGCTTTTGTGACGCACATGCTGTGCATCACAAGTGGAGAGCCCGGGCCAAAGAAAATATACAGTTACCAGAAGAATAAACCCAGGATGAAAAGCACAGAGGTAGCATCGATAGACGTCTAATGCGCCATTGGCCCCATCTGGTTAGAATCACATCATCAAAATTAGAGCCAGAGTAGACCTTCCAGGTCATCCCACCTGTCCCCCTGCCAACACAACAGTCATCTTTTTGAGGACCAGGTCCAGTGCAATTTTATCTGTCTCAGGAGACAAGAATTCCACAGATTCTGTGGGCAAGATATTTACCATGTTTAAAGAGGCAAGTGTAGTCACAGTCGAGATTTCAGTCAGCAAAAGAAATGAATTCAGCCTTTGAAACAGAAGGGACTGGCTTCTCAGAGCAGACATTCTCCTAGTGAAAGACAAAGAGCTCGGTGCCCAGAGAATCACCACTGCGATGGAAATGAGAATTGCTGCGAGCCATGTAAGGATTTAAGGGAGCCTCAGAACTGCCAAGGGACTTTCTAGAATCAGTCCAAGGAAATGCTACACAGTGTTCAAACCTTTCTTCCTTGGTACAAATGGGACTGGAACGGTTGTGATCAGGAACCAGCTAAGGTGCTGGAAACAGAGGTGAGCTGGAAATCAGATCCATAGGTTCTCATCAGAGATGACAGAGGACACCTTCCTTTTATTTGGAGGTGGTGGACGAAAGGAGGACGATCGCATATTAAGAGAAATCCTACACGAAGAGCCAAGAGGTAGAGTCAGAACACATGTCAGATTTTCTAGGGTCTGAAGGTAGCATCAAATACATGTCAATGGAGTCAAGAGTTTGGAAGCAGGGAGATAAGATCTAGTATAAACTTTGAGAAGTTTGAGGTCAAAAGGAATGAGGGGCACCTAAATGACTACCTTTAAGAGACATTTTAAAGTTATTTTTATATAGTCAGAAATTTCATTTAAAAGAAGTGTTCTATATGATGTTTGATGCATATGTAACAGACAGGAACACCAGCATTTCTGAGTGAAGCGTGAGTTGGGATGAGGTGAGTAGGGAATTCTGGAGCCCTCCTGCCCAAACCCACCTGTTTCTACAGAGGACCTTGCCTCACTTCTGCAGAACCCCCGGCATTGATTTAAAAATACCAATTTTCAACTGCAGAATCAATGATTAATTGTGTTGAGTATTCTGCAGTGGGGCATGTCAAAGGTGAATTCTGCCCATGGAACTCAGAACTTATTTTATTTAAGCTAATATCCTGTTATTTTGCACACACACACAAATGTAGCTGGTAGCTGTCACAACTCCCAGTCTTACCCATCTCAGCAGAGCGTGTGCCATCCTGCCTTCATGGATCAGCAGAGCAGGCTGGTCCAGCCTGAAGGATGCGGGGCGGGGAGTACGGCTGGGAGACAGAGCGGTGCATAGAGCTGAGAAAAGATGAGAAAATAGCCAAAGTAGAAAACAGGAGAGGAGTTAGAAAAATAAAACCAGTCAGTAACAAGAACATCTGGGATGAAACCTGGGTACTGACGGTGTAGCCAATGTTCTTGTTTCCTAAAGGAAACAGGTACACCGTCC